TGAACGGAAGAAATCTCAATGAAAATGCTTGATTTTCCTTTCTCTGTCTCTCTCTAGCAACTCTCTGGTTTTTTTTTTTTACGAATCTCTCTCTCTGCTTTGTTTTTGTTTTCTTTCTTTTCTATATTATGTCTTACACTCACGAGCACATAACGTGAGTAATTGTAATGGCCTTAGTAAACTTAAGTGATTTTACAATGTGAGTTATCCACTTAAGCGTGAGTCATCAAGCTGATGAGCTCAAACGTAAATCAATGCCAAGTGTTACATCTGCATGTGAGGTTTAATAATCCACCTCACGGTAACAATTATTTTTACCTTTTTTTTTAAAACGTACTAACGTACATGGAAAGGATCTTATATATATATATATATATATAACTTGGTTTTTCTCCTTTTCTTCTTAGTCGGCCACACTTAGGCAAATAAAACAAGGTGGCTTCTAATTCCTTCACTTCACGTTCTTAAGGCATAAATATTTTAGATAAACTAATTTCTTAAGGAACGTACTTAGAAATAATCATTTATGTAATATATATATATACATATATTATAACTTTGTTCAGCCTGCTTTTTTTGGACTGTCGAGTATCCTGGGTCAAACTTCTCATGTTCAACCCAATTCTCTTGGGTATCTCATTAGTCAATTTCTTTTTCTGAAATTATCATCTTAATTGATTCAGAATTTCCTATACCGTGTATCCTTGCGGTACTCATTTTTTTTTAGCAGTTTTCTGCTTAAATTGACTCGGGAGAATTCAGTTTCAGGAACTTTTACTGTTTTCCTTACTTCTAATATTTCTACTCTTTTTTTTAGCTGGTTATTTAGTCACATACCAAATATTTCAGTTTTTCATAACTAAAATATATCCGCTAAAATTTTTAACTTTTAACTAATATCTCACTATTTATAAGTGATATTTACGAATTTCCTTTGTAAGAATATTTGTATTATAACTTTACATATTTCGGGAAATTTTACCACGTACATAAAGTTTCTACATAATATTTTTTTGATTATATCAAAATTCTACTACTTACTATTCCGGAAAGAATTTTAGTCAAATACTGGAATGTCCGGACTAGACCTAAATTTTTTTCCGGTCATTACATTGACACTGGGTTTGACCCTGTTTGGCCTGAAATTGTTGTTTTGACCCCTGTTTTCGGGGAGAACCCAAATTAGCTTCATTTGGGGACTTGAGATAGATGGATTAGTATTGTTAATCCTTGATTTGAGATTGAAAACCCTTGGAATGATATTTTGAAACATGAAAAATGGATTAGGGCACACTAATAGGAAATCTTAGTTGGAAATTGAGATTTGGATTGCTTTAGGAATGAGAATTAATCCTAAAGTGTTGTCTTGCATCAGTGATCGCTGAGGATTCAGACTGAAGGGGCTTGAGGAAGCGGAAGCCGGAAAAAGGCAACGCTAGTCCCAAGTTTGATAGTGCGAGGTAGGATTTCTATCCCTTTTCCTTGTGAGCCTGTTTTCAAAAAGGATTTTGGCCTTGGAAATGTTTTAAAGAAAGGGATTGGTTTACGTCTATTATAGTCATATTTCAGTAAGTTGTATAAAATCTATCAGGAGAAGTGTTGTGACGACCCTCATTTGAGGCCGCCACTGTTACTAACTTTTTAACTTGTACTTACTGGGGGGTTTCTTAAAATATGCGGAACATTTTTTTTTTTTTATTTAAGAAGGAATACTTTCATAATTTGTAACAATAATTTCAAATAAGTGAATCACTAAATTTCTTAAAGCTTTTCTTAATTTTAGTTAAGATAAAACCTTTTAGGAATATCCTTCAAATGGAATAGCATTTGAACTCT